AAATCAACTATTTAAAAGTTTTTATTTTTTATGTAATTTCTTTAATTTATTTTTTTATTATAATTTAATTTAAGTTTAATAATGAAATAATTTATTTTTGGTTTAATATTATAAATTTTATAAAGATAATAATTAAATATTCTGTTAGAATTCAATAATTATCCTAATTATATTTTAGATTTTTTATATTTAAAATGAGATGTTTATCCTGTATTTGATGAAATATGATAGGGATGAACGGGTTTAGGGATGGCTTTAACAGGTTGTACCATTAGCAATAGATGTTGTCTTTAAGAGTTTTAAGAGTTTAAGAGTTTTTAAGAGTTTTAGCCAAATGCTTTATAATATAGTATAGATAATTAAATATTCTGTTAGAACTTAATAATTATCTTCATTATATTTTAGATTTTTTATATTTAAAATGAGATGTTTATCATGTATTTGATTATGTTTATCTGCAGTTAATTACACGAATTCAAATACGGAGCTTTAATAAGTTGTACTTATGCACAATCTACTTGTAATCTTGAGTTTTTAATAATATTCATTAACAAACAGTATTTTACGCATAAAAAATGATTTTTAAGAACTTTTGTCAAATATTTTATAATATAATATAAATATAGATAAGATCATCACATTAAAAAAATCGTTTTCCTAAAAGAAAATAAATACATATAAAATGTGTAAAATATTACAATTACAACAAACAAATAAAATCAAAAAATGGTAAGATTACCATCACATATATTTTCTATAAATACCCTCCATCTATTAACATCAACAAGTTAAGTCCATGAAAGAAAAACGACTTCAGTATAACAAGGATTCCAAAAAGTTATCGTCTTTAGGTTCGTCTTTAGCTATAGAAAAAACATTATCCAAATTTGGTTGTCGATTCATGTAACCGGTGCGTATTCGGTTGTCGAACCCAGATAACTCATGACCACCTGGGTTATTTAACATCTCTAGCGTAAACGGTGTTTCTTGTGACGATGGTAACCAGGACTCATAGACTGTATTGATCATAGAGTTGTTAGGTTGGTGATGAGACCATTCGGATGGCCTAATTGTCATGGTGGCCACACTGTTGCCAGGGTTGGTGGGTGGTAATGGTCGATGACTGGCACCACGAGCCAATGGCACATCGTGGGTGTGCTTGCCTTCATAGGTTGTTATCACTGAGCGTACGTCATGGGACGCTCGTTCCACATGCTTTCTCACTGAACAACCGAGTGTGGTGCATTTGTAGTAGCTTCTGCAAGGATTAAACAAATAATGTAAATACCAATGATGCAATGAGTATATTTAATATATATATATATATATATATATATAATATTCCATATTATATTTTATACAGTAAAAAGTAAATAAACTAGAAAGTAAAATAAAAAGTAAATACCGAGGATTAGGATTCCCTTTGACCACTTTTTGACCGTATTTTCTCCATCTATAGCCATCATCGAGTATATCAATATCACTTAACGTCTGAACCACGACTCTTGGCTCTCTAATGGTCCTACTTCCCTCCATCGATATCATTTCATTTTCATTATTCATCTTCCTGTTTGACAATTTCACAAAACGAAATACAAAAACAGTCAACAATCTATCCCAAATTTAGAAAAAGAAATCCGCCTTCAAATCAGATGATTTGCAAGGACCGATATAGAGTTTCTTCTATTACAAACCCAGTAATTCGTATAAACATATAGATCAATTTTCACGTTATATGAAATAACACGTATGAAAATACAGTATTTGTACAATATTGTTTCATACGTAAAACGTTCAGTACTATTTTTTCCAAAGCAAAACACTCTAAACATTTACAAATATGAAACAACAGTGTATAAAAACTGTATTAACAACACATGAAAACTGGTTTCTAGGGTTTAACAATAAAAAAGTACACTTATCAAGTAATGAGAAGATAGAACTTACAATCTTTTAGCATGAGCTTCATCTTCAAGAAACTCATCCCCACCGGACCTACTCCGACTAAACTCATCATCTCCGATTGAATTTGATGAATTTTCCGGCGTCCCAACCAAATCCGATTGCCGAGAACCGTTAGATTGATCCGGGTATTCGTTAAATTGATGCACCACGAATGAATTACTCGAAGCCGAAGAAGAAGACAATCGTTTAGTAGATTGCGGTTTCGGATGATCGTGATTTCCTTTATAAACAATTTCAGTAATATCCCCATCTGCGGACGTCTCCACCTTCTTCCTCATTGAACAATTTCGATATGTGCACTTGTAATAACTTCTAGGATTTTCACTACCTTTCACTTGTTTTTGCCCATATTTTCTCCAATTATACCCATCATCTAACTTCTTCTGTGATGATTGATGATTATAGTTCGATTGGAAGCTCTGTTTCGGCTTTGAGTTTGTTTTAACGGTGGAGATCTCAGGGGAGAAACTCTGCATCTGAAATGGGTATTCTGATGTTACGAATTCTGTGTCATCTTCGATTTTGGGTTGATGGTAGATTTCCTGAAAAGTTTCGATCGAATTGGTGGCGATTTCTTGAAGAACTTCAAAGAACAAATGAAACCCAGAAAAATTATGGAGAAAAACTTACAGTGGAATGATTCGATTGGGATTGAAAGAAGAAATCTGCAAAATTCTTGTGTTCTTGATTCTGGTTGTTGGTGTTCCAATTGAAGGCTTGTAATGGGAAAGAACCAGTGGTTGGAGATGCTAAAATCTGCAAGGAAGTTAAAAAAGATTAGAAATGAAAACCTTGAAGATCTGAACTTTTCAAATGGGTTTTTGATTTCCCACAAATCCCATTTTTTGTTTACGAAGAAATATACAAATTTGGGGGAAAAAAGGTGTTCTTGGGTATGGTTAAGAGTTAAAAACAGAGCTCGAAGACGCCATTAATGGCGGATTGTTTACAAGATTGAGAGAAACTTACGTGGGAAGAAGAGAGGAGAACAGGGGAGTCAAGGAAGTCGGCGGTGGTGAGGCCGCCGGAGATGGAGAAGTTGGAGAACGGTGAGAACGCCGGCGAGGAAATGGGAAGTGAAGGTGGAGGGGTTGATTTGAATTTGGGTGTACCTCTGGTGGCCGGAGGTTCAGCTGCGGCGGCGGGTGGTGAGTTTGATGATGATTCAAAGGTGATTGCTGAAGAAGACATGAAGAGGGAGTTGGGAAAATGTGAGAGAGAGTTCCATTTACATGAGATTTCATATGTAATATGGAGAAGGGTAAAAAAGTCAAAGATGCATGTGTACCTAACCTACAGGAATTTACATGACATTTCATTTGTCTCAATCTCTTATTTAAATATATATTAAACCATAATTCCATATTTTCTTTATTCATGTTTTAATTATTTAAATAGAAAAAAGAAGATATTTATAAGAATAAAAATATCTCTGTATAATTTATATTGTTTTTAAAGGATATTTTTGTATTTTTTTTTATAATGAAAAGATGTTTCCTTTTACGGGGTTGTGATTGTTTATAAAAATAATTTATTGACTTATTCAGTTATTCTGATGTGACAATGGTAATAAATATTTTTGAGTGTTTGGATAAACAACTTATACCGGTGCCAAACCGGTAATAAAAAGTTTTTGAAGAAGTTAAACTCTTATTACTAGGGGTGAGCAGCGGAACCGGGTACCCGGCTATGGAACCGAAACCGCCGGTTCAGGAATCGGAACCGATATGAGTGGTTCCGGTTTCTAAAATACGGAACCGATTGAGAATGGTTCCGATTCCGGTTCTCAATTTTTCGGAATCGTTACCTGTCGGATACCCGGTATTTTTTAATAAAAAATAATAATTATTTTTTAATACCAAATTTATATTAGGTTTACATCTTGAAAGCACGCTGTCATCTTCATTCTTCATCTAAATTCTTCATATAGAATGATTCATATTTTTTCAAATTGTGTGTTCACTTGGATTCATAGTATGTAATCGTTAAACTTTGAACATTTACCATTATAGTATGTAATCGTTAAACTTTGAACATTTACCAGTATGTAATTGTTAAACTTTGAACATTTACCATTATAGTATGTAATCGTTAAACTTTGAACATTTTHTATTAGTCTATTATGGTTTGTAATCGTTAAACAACATTTGTAACCATTATTCTGTATAATTTGTATTCTTGCTTATTTATTTAGTGTTTTGACAATGTTTTATTTTTTATTTCTAAATAACAAAATTTTAATATTTTAGGAAGCGGGTATCCGGAACCGGTTCCCGGCGGTTCCGGTTCCAAAAATTTAAGAACCGCTCTAACCGGTTCCGGTTCCAATATCTCAAGAACCGTCAGTTCCGGTTCCTGTCAAAAAGGACGGATACCCGCCTATACTCACCCCTACTTATGACTTATAATAAGCTGATAAGTGTTTTTGTAGAAAAGCTTAAGTTGTTTCAAATAAGCAATCCCAAACACCCCCTAAATAAGTTCAAATGATGCAATGACAATTTTATCTTTTCTTAGTTCGAATTCAAAGTGTCAAAAATTTTATAGCATTGAAAGTTCACCTACAATGACTTCAGATCATTCATGATCACTAGGGATCAAACCATGCACATAAAACTGTTCATGATACGATAGTTATAAAGAAACTAAATTAACATGTATTTTATTCATCTCAATTTATCACTGTAATTACATGTATTTTTTTAAATCTACTTTAATTTAGTTCTTATTTATACTATATTATAAAACATTTGACAAAAACTCTAAAAAATTAAATTTTATGCATAAAATACTGTTTATTAATGCATATTACGTAAAATTCAAGATTACAAGTAGAACTTGCATGAGTACATCTTATTAAAGCTCCATGTTTAAATCGTGTAACTAACTGCACATAAACATAATCAAATATAAAATTAAGAAATCATTAAGTTCTAACAATATACTTAATTATCATTTTAAAAGAATTATTATATTAAACCAAAAATAAATTAGTTCGTTATTAAACTTCAATTAAATTATAATAAAAAAATTAAATTAAAGAAATTACATAAAAACGAGAACTTTTAAATAGTTAATTTGATACTAATATCGGTTATTGTTTTCCAAATTTTATAATATCTTCAAATTTATATTTTCATTCAAAAAAAAAAAAAACTCAAAAAATCACATAGCCAAAACACAACCATATTAACTATCAAATTGTTAAAACATATAAACCTTTATTAATTTTACCATTTTATTGGTATTATATTACTAGGGTTGGGTTCACGTGAAACTGAATGTTTTTTGTGAGACCCGTAATACCAATTTATGTTCATTGATCAACTTTATAAACTAATGATATAAAGCTCTAAAGTTGCACAGTAACAATTTTGTGATTATTGAGAAGTCTCGTGACAATTTTGTGATTATGAATGTTCAGATTGTAGATCTAATCCAAGAATTGAGAATTGGTCTTAAAGGTGTCATTAAAAACCCTTGATCTCACATGATCTCAAGTCTATACCCCACTATTCACAAAAAAATTGTAACCCATTTTCTTCAAGTTTCCATTTATATTTATAAATTATCATAAATAAAATGTTGTGATTTCTCATGTATGTAAGATTTTTTCTATATTTTTTTTCCTGTTTTTATAGAGATGTATTTGAATAGACGACTGATTTTAAAAAAGCAGAAAGTGTCATTTATCTTTATTCTTTAATCTTTCTAGAATCACGAATATACTGAATAAAATAAATAGAAAATCTATCTTTCTTTGCACGTATTCACATATGAAATATCCCTATTAAAAATGTTACATGAGAATAAAAAAAGACTGAAAAACCATTAAAACCAGTTATACTTTATATGAATGAAAATTAAACTGTTTTTATAAAAATACTGTAAACGGAATTGATGTATTTTTGGAAATTTTTAATGGGAAATCTAATGGTATCAACTGACATTCTGTAATAATCATATTGCTCATATGTTAATCGTTGAACTTGTAAAAATCCCAAAAATATAGTACTCATCTTGTTTCAAGACATTATTATATCCATATCACGATGTCATTTTCTCCCCTGCCCAGTGCCGGAAGGTCAAGGAAGTTGGTGACCTGATGACAGGGGAGCCGGCGACCGAAGCCCCAGGTTGGTTCTTTTGTTCATCTAATAATTAGTGTTAATTATGTGAACCAATCTTAGCCATTAATCATTGAGATCTACAGATTAAATTAATCAAATGACATACTTATAATAAATGAAAATTTGAACAAAAATAAAGTTGGTGGAACATTCTTGAACAGAGGTATTTATGGAAAAGATCAATGCATATGAACATCTATGAACAATCTTAATTGTTTCCTATGAACATCATATGGTTATGAACATAATCTTATGAACGTCTTGTGGTTATGAGCACATTCTTATGAAAACCTTATGGTTATAAACACATTCTTATGAACATCATTAAATACTATAAAAGTAACTTACACATAAAAAATTGTAACGTATCATTAAATAGCATAAAAATAACTTACACATAAAAACTACCGATTTGCCCTTCATCATTAAATCAAACATTTGAATCAAACCTGTATTAAAGAATGAATTTTATTGGTTCAATAAGTTAATAAAGTTAATATCATATTCTTGGTTAATAAAATATCTTACACCCTCCCTCTCTCTCTCTCTCTCTCTCTCTCTCTCTCTCTCTATATATATATATATATATATATATATATATAGATAGATAGAGGAGCGATCAAATGAAAACCACCTTCATTTGTAAAAACCGTACAAACCACCCTCATACGTCGATTTTATTGTTTAGTCTTATGAAATTTTTTCATGAAATTGTTTAATCTTGTGAAATTGTTTCATATAATACTTTTTTGATGAATTTGTTTCATATATGGTTATGAAATTGTTTCATATAATATTTAATGAAAGTTTAATGAAATTGTTTCATGTATTTCTCTAAAATTAAAATAATAAAGATGATAATATCCATGATTAACAYCCTCCACAATAAAAATGGTTAATCAACCTCTCATAATTACAAAAAAATGAACAAAATGAAAAATTATGATTGGTTGAATGAGGTTTTCACGGTTTTTACAAATTGAGTGTTTTTATTTGAACGCTCCCCTATATAGATATATATATATATATATATATATACTTGGGATCATGTGAGACCAATGGTTTTTCGTGAGACCCATAAGACCAATTCTTAACCCTTGGATTAGATTTACAATCGTCAGATCTGAACGTTCATAAACACCACGAGACTTCTCAATAATTACAAAATTGCCACCTTGCAACTTTAGACCATTAGATCATTAGTTTATAAAGTTGATCAATGAACATAAATTGGTCTTACGGGTCTCACGAAAAACTCATGGTCTCACGTGAACCCAACCCTATATATATATATATATATATATATATATATATATATATAATTTTTGAGCAGAATTTATAGAAAAACAATTATTCCTTTATGAAGACGCGATGTATAATCATTACACTAGAAAACGAAGGGAGAAATAACCTCGATCAACAAGTTCTCTTTCTTATTTTTGAAAAGTCAAAATTGATGACTAAAAATAAAATTGACGAAACCTGCTTACATACACAGAAGCATTCGTGTGCACGCAATTGTGCACTTACATGCCGGTTCTTATGTCTATATATTCATTAATGTCATATAACAAACATATTTTTTATATCGAAGCTTGTAAAACAAATTGAATTAATAATTAAAAAGTTACAAAAATTCATTTATATCAGTAGATTCAGTTTCAGGATCGTCAACAATCATCTAACTTACTCGATTTAAAGATGTATAACGTGATCTTTCAGGCCACTAAACAAAGACCAAAGTCAGGTATTGAGATTTTCTCTTCAACCATCATCCATCCCCTTATTGATCCGACCACGATGAACGTTTTCACGCCTAACTTATATCTTATCTCCGTTTCGTTATTAAATATTAATGACCAGTCGAATCAACACAATTATAAACATTATTATATGAATCAATATAATCTGAGAAGAGGAAAACAACAAAATAAGTTTAGTGGAACAGGGGTAACCCTTAGAACGAGTTAAACAGGTAAGTGTCAGATTGACTTGACCCGTCAACAGTTTCTTGTCTTTTTTCTGATTCTGTAATAATTAACATGATTAGAAAACATCTAGGATACTGTAATCACTTAACATTGATTGTTATTTTAACTTTTTCTTAAGTTTTAACGGTTTAATTTTTTAATAATAATAATATAACTCATATCCACAAAACCCGCATAAGGTAACAAAAAAGTAGCGTCAAGAGGCACAAAACATGTGGTGTGTGTAGCATCCACGTCCAACTTATGAAGTGTACTAGAATCAAGTTGCATGCGGTTTTAAAAAGAAACTTTGAAATTAAAAATGATGGTCAAATAAAGTTATAAGAGGGTGCTTGATTAGCGAGTAGAATGGAAATAAAAATTATAATTGATATCTGATTTGAATTAATCAAATCATGACCAAATACTGGATAATGAAACAGTTCTTAACAAATTAGGAGGACTGAAACTTAATCCTATTTTACAATCCTGTATTTCCATTTTCAAAGCAAACACCTTTTTTCATTATTATATAGAAGATGGAGGAATCAACAACAAAATACAATACAAGCTAGGATAGATTATAGTTGTGGCAATCACGACCACGATACCCTAACTTTGATGGCTATATATGTAAAAAGCAAACGGATAGTAAATCCTACACATCAGTAGAGTCCGATGATAAGATGTACGTAGATTTTCTTCTACCTCAATGGATAGAGAATAAAAAAGGCCGAAGCTCAAGCTTAATGAGCCCAAAGCCCAATCAGGTCGAAATTTTGGGGCAAGCCTAGGTCTGACCTGAAAAATCTTGGAAAAGCCCGGTTAAGCTCGAAAAAGTTGGACCTGAAAAGGCCGATCGAGCCCTTTCAACTTCAAAGCTATGCCTTTTTTTGCTTACTGAAAACGGAGTTGGAAGGGATTATTTCCGTGAAAACCACTCGGCTTGTATATATTTGACTTTTTTATTTCACAAATGAACGGGGAGGACATGACTTAAAAGGATGGTTGAATATTTACCACAAGTTATGTTCAAATATATCATCATAAAGTTGAATCACAGACTAAAAACGATGCTATACAGAAATTCACAGTAGGGAAAGCGAAAGACTTGAAAGTATCGATATTCAACATTGTATAAGTGACATAAATATCAGAAGCGTGAAGTTGGTCATGTTGATTACAGATTAACGATGATATGTGTCACGTCTATGTGTTTCTGAAGCAGGTTGCTGCTGAAAGATGTTTGTAGGATCACTTGGATCAATGTTTCTGCTCAAACAAAAGGGAAAAAAGTACACGATTAGAATCATATGAGGATGACTCCAAATTTCATGCTAGTATCTGGAAACCCGTATTTGGTACGTGGACATGACTGGACTAGATGGGGGAGAGTGGGCTTAATAATTTACCTATTTTGTTTCACCTATTTCGGTAATTTCTTGTTCCAGTCTAACGTCGTGCAAAATGTAGGATACCAACCTTTTGTTCTGGCATGTTCTGTGTCCCAAAAAACACCTACAAGGGTGTTTTTGGTATGCAAACGAGACTGAACATGACATAATTGGTTAGAGTTAGATAAGCGGGTGAAAGAATTCTCGAAGGTTTAAAGGTTGTAATTTGACATGGGTAGTTTAGTAATTTACCTATCTTGTCTCATCTACCAAATTCTTGTTCCACCTATTTTGTTGGGACAAAAGAAAAACATTTTTATCACACTCAGTCTTGCCTTGTTCAAGTCTAATGTCGCACCAAATACGTTTCTGTATTCCCGTCTTGTTCCACCTACCAAATACGCCCTTAAAGTAGCTAAATTATAAGGTCCTTTGTGATTTAGAGGATTGGATTAGATTTGGAATTGAAAATTCCATTCCAACCTCATCGTTGGTTTGAAGGATTTCCTGGGATTTCATTGAAATCCGATAAACATAGGATTTTGAAATCCCATGGAGATGGTTGGTATTTTACGAGATTTCGTAAGATTTTTGTATACAATAATGTTTTAAAAATATGTTTAAATGTTTATATTGTTACAATCAATTAATAAATAATTAATTTAATTAATATATAATTTGTTTTAATAGAATATTTATAACAATTGGAATTCAACTGCATTTCAAATCCTCCTAAATCCAAATCTTTCCACAAAACTCAAATCCCTCAAAAACATCACATCAAACCAAACGGACCCTAAGAGTCTTTCATGTTTGTGAGGTAAGTTTCTCTTAAAGATGTCAATAACTCTTCCGTTTCATGGATTTGATGCCCGATTCGCTTGTATGTATATATATATATATATATATATATATATATAGTTGTAGAATATTGAAAACAAGGAGACAAATGCTTGAACAAAATCCCGAAACCGTTGTGTACTACTTGAAGTTGGCCAAAAGATTTTGCAAAGTTAAAAAACATCGTTCTGATTTACTTACAAGTTTCACAAGTCTAGATATGTTGTTGCAATGAAATATTGGTTGGATAGTTTTTTTTTTTTTTTTTTTACTGTGGACGTAAAACAACAGGAACAAACAAGATATCAGAAAAATAAAAATGCATTGTTCTATATGTACGTTAAACAAGTGCCCATACCCCCGAACAAAGACCAAATTGAAGTACTGAGATTATCCATCCTCTTATCGACCCAACTATGATGAACGTTTTCACTACTACCTTCTCTCTTATCTCCATTTCCTTATTAAATATAAAAAAAACCCCTGTTTAATTAGGACAATTATAAACAAATCAACATGACTGGGGAAGAGGAAGACAACAAAATAAGTTTGGTGAAACTTAGAACGAGTTAAACAAGTGTCAGATTGAGTTGACCCAACAACACTTCTTTTTGTGTTTTTTCCGATGTTAATATGATTAACATGATTACAGAAGCTTCCGTGACAATAAAATATGTCTTCGAACACAACATTCAGGATACGATAATCACTTAACATGTTCTTGATAACTTTTAAATTATTCGATTGCTATCTAACTCTTTCTTAAATTATTAAGATATATAAATATAACTCGTATCCACAAAACTCGCATAGAGTTATAGAAAAGGAACGCATAGGCCTTTTTCAGCCCAAAAGCTGGCCCAAGCCCTTTTTGCTTATCAAACGGGATTGGAAGGCTCGACGAGGCTTAAAAGGGACCGGACCTTGTACATCTCTAAAAAAAATGAGAAATTGTTTCCGTAAAAACCCCTCATCATTGTATATATTTGACTTTCTTATTGCACAAACGAGCCCAAGGACATGACTTAAAAGGATAGTTAAATATTTACCACAAGTTATGTTCAAATGTATCAACATAATGGAAGATCAAAGACTAATAGGGATGCTATACATAAATTCACACATAAACCTTACGAAATTGGAAGACTTCAAAAATATAAACTTTCAACATTTTATCGATGACATAAATATCGGAAGCGTGAGGTTGGTCCTGTTATTTATTATGGATTAGTGATGGTATGTGTCACGTCTATGTGCTTCTGAAACAGGTTGCTGCAGATAGATCTTCGTAGGATCACTGGGATCGACATATCTGCTCAAATAAAAGGGAGAAAGTACACGATTAGAAATGTGCATATGAGAATAACTCCCTAGTTTCATGCTGGTATTTGCAAACCCTTATTTGGCATGTGGACAGGATTGAATAAGGCTGAACTAGATGGAAGAGAGTGAGGTAGGTAGGTGAAAATTTTTGGAAGGTTTTAAGTCTTTAATTTGACATGGGTAGCTTAGAAATTACCAATGGGTAGTTTAGTAATTTACGTATCTTGAGATTCATGTCTCATCATGTCAAGAGTCTAACGTCGCGCAAAATGTGAGACAATAAACCTTTTCTTTTCCTGTCATGTCCCGAGTAACAGAAGCACCCTAAGGGTGCGTTAAGACGGGATTGAACATGACATGAAGGGCAAGAGTGAGATGGAGGGGAGGGAACTCTTGAAGGTTTTAGGGTCTTAATTGACAAGGATAGTTCAGTAATATGTCCCGCGTAACAGAAGCACCCTAAGGGTGCGTTAAGACGGGACTGAGCATGACATGAAGGGCAAGAGTGAGATGGAGGGGAGGGAACTCTTGAAGGTTTTAGGGTCTTAATTGACAAGGACAGTTCAGTAATTTACATCTCAGTCCTGTCAAGTCCATTTCCGCACCAACACGATCCCATCTTGTTCAGCATACAACACACCTTAAGGTAGCCGAATTTCTTAAAGTCTTCATGTTTGAATGGTGAGATTTCTTGAAGATAATAACTCCTCAATTGCATGGATTTGATGCCCGATTTGTGTGTGTGTGTACATATATATTATATTTGTAGATTAAAAGGAAAATGAGAAACAAGAAATGATTCTTACGCGCAATTCATCATTTCATCAACTGGAGTTTGGGCGGCTCTTAAAGGATCGAGAAGGGGTGAAGTTTCAAATTGTTGATTATATTGCCTCACAAGTTTTATCAAGTTGAAGAACAAGGGCACAAATGTTCCACAACCTCCATGCTTGAACAGAATCTTGAAACTGTGAGTAGGGTACATTTCCCTGTTCTGATCATTTGGCACTACCTGCAGTTGGCAATGATCCCATACGATAACCAGCTAATGCTATAATTTTACGAGTTAAAAAAGTCGTTCTGATATACTTACAGGTTCCACAAGTCCAGATATGTTGTTGCAGTGAAATACCGGTTGGCTAAATTTCTCATCATGCACGTAAAGCTACAGGAACAAAAAAGACATCAAAAAAACGAAAATGCATGATCCTATTTCTACGTTAAATATGTGCCTGTAACCAGGCAAAGAGGGGCCTTTTTGTCAAAAGGTACGCTGCAATAGAATCAAGGGTTAATCATCAATTACATATTATCAATCATTTATCAATTGCATAAACAATGACAATGGTTGATAAACCAAACCAATATCAGCCCAGCATATCCCACATGGAGGTGGGGTCTGGGGAGGGTAAGATGTGGGCTGACCTTACCTATACCCAAAGAGTATAAAGTCTATTTCCGTTGTTTTTGAGAAAATTGACAACAAGCAATCCTTAGATTGTGTTCTCTGCATGCTTAAATGCTTATTTGGGCCAAAATGTTTACCCAAATCATTAGTTGGTGGTCCAGATGAAGGATCGTGTGAGGATATGAGGTAAGGTGAGAAGCATAAGAAGGGATCTGGACCCTTGATCACTTTTAATCTCACCCCCACCCCATGAACTGCGCTTAATACGGGAATTGATTCAGTGCATCTCATTACTGTTGATCTTCAATTAGTATTGATCGAAGGGTGGAGATCCCTTCTTACCCTTCTGAACGTAACTTCCATTCTCATCGGAACCCCACCCTGGTGGACCAAGACACATATACTTCTCAAACTGCCTAAAGTCTAGACTTGTAAATTTATAATACACCATTAAACCGTAGATGACCTATAAACATCTTTTGGTAATTAACCCTCGAATCAATGAATGAAGGTTCATCCCACTGTCTTGCATGAAATACAAAACAGATAAATTTATTCCATACTTAACAATGAAACGTGATACGACAAAGGAACAGCTGAAAATAATGTCACCAGATACAAACTTCGAGGCTTTTGAGCAAACGTTATTGACTTCTGAGCATAGAAAGGCATAAAAAGAACCGGCGTTGAAGTAACAAGATGTGAGATTCACCATACCAGGGGCATGTCAAAAGCAGTAAAGCTCTGTGTAGGTTTATCAGCAACAAACACCACTCGCACATTTGATAGAAAGATTCTACCCTTTGCTTTGACAGTTGCTCCACGAGCCCTGAACAGATTATTAGCAACATTAGGTTTGGTTCAAAGTTCAAACAAGATCTTTGACTCTAATTAAAGAAACTGCATCATCTATACCTCAGCCGCTTAAGTTCTTACACAGATTAACAATGGTTAGGTGGCAAAACAGCTAGAATATGCACATCCTTTCATAAGGTGTTTTGAGTTTGACAAGACAAATGCTTAAAGTAGGAGCTTGAAATAAAAGTATAAAACCAAATCAAACAAACCTATTAAATCCCACTAGAAGTTGGGTCTGGGGAGGGGTATGATGTATGCACTGGATATCAAAATGACTCATCATAGGTCATAAATTATTGGCATTCAAGATTCAAGGTTTGATTATTCAGCTGGAATGGAAGATCATCAATTGAAATTCTCATAGGAGAACTTCTATAAGTGTGACCAAACTGCCAAATCCAAAAAATCAAACCAAACGGGAAAAGTTTTGTTCTGCTTTAGAATATCCTGCACCCATTTCACGTTATAGGTGTAGCTGGTGCGTTCGGTGGCTCCCTATACAGTGCTGTGCATCGTTTCTTGGCTACCTCTAAGTTTGATCAGGGACACCATTGAAAATGAATCTGCTAATGATTGAGAGGTTCGGTTATTTGAATTTGAATTTGAATTTTTCAGCTTACGAAACCACCAATTTATAGATTTATTTTTCTGTCTTATTGTACCAAACTAATTTATTGGTTGTTTCATTGAAAGAATATCACTATTGATTCATATTAAAAACATGATTGTGAGAATAATCCAGTTTACAGCTCCAGTGAAAACCAACCAAATCGACCAAGTTAAACGCCTAAAAACCATATACAACTTCAATTTCACAACCCGTTCATCAATAGCCATCATAAAACCCTAGATAGCAATCAATACAAAAAATCCAGAAGCTTCGGAACAAATTAATTTGAAACACAGCCTGAATTAAGAAGTTCTAGAATCTGCTTAGGCGCAATACATTATCACACATAAAAATCCCAAATCCAACAAAAACAAGAAATCCCTACGTTCAGATTTTCATTACGCAATTCAAACACAGACCATCTACCATCAATGGCAGAACAGCAAAAGAACATGAAAAAATTAGAAGAGAATCATACTGACCCGTGGATATTGCTAACCTCAAATTCGACTCCTTCTCTGATCAGGACGAACATCTCGTTGACGAATGCTACCGGCATCCCGTTATCGTAGAGATGCGGGTTTAGGGCCATGATTGGAAACTGATGATCTCCTTGAAATCTAATGACAATAGTCGTCCGATAGCTAGAATTTTCGAATCGCAATTACGTATCAGAAATCGCAACCAGAATCATGAGGAATGAAGAAATCCTTATGTAATTATAAATTCTGCTCCTTCCGAAATCCACGACATTCCAGAAATTTCACGATGAAAGTTTATTCTGACTCATGCATTAATTCCATTTTTTTTTTCTTTTTCTCGAAAAATAAATATTTTTAATTTATCAAAAAATACACAAAATGTTTATATTTTTTGAGTAAATTTACATGATCGGTCCCTGTAGTTTACACATTATCACATTATGCGTCCCTAAATTAAAATAATTTTGAAAAATGTCCCTATGGTTTATATTTCCTGAACCCTAACACCGTTAAAAAGATATGTTAAGCAGTTTAATTGGGAGTGTACCTTAGTCAATTCACAAATTCTCCTATTTTTTATTTAAAAAAGTATCTATACTATATTATAAAGTATTTGACAAAAACTCTTAAAAATCATTTTTTATGCTTGAAGTACTGTATATTGATGGATATTACTTAAAATTCAATATTACAAGTAAATTATGCATAAGTATAACTTATTAAAGCTTCATGTTTGAATTCGTGTAACTAACTGCGGATAAACATAATCAAATAGAGAATAAACATCTCATTTTAAAATATAAAAAATCTAAAATATAATTAGGATTAATATCGAGTTCTAACAAATTAATTAATTATTATCGTTATAAGAAAATTATATTATTAAACCAAATATAAACTATTTCGTTATTGAACCAAAATTAAATTATAATAAAGAAATTGAATTAAAAAATTACACAAAAATTATGAATTTTAAATAGTTAATTTGATACTGATATCGATATATTTTTCTCAAAATTTTATAATATCTTCAACTTTATATTTTATTCAAAAATAAAAATATCATCGTTTTTTCAAAATCACATAAGACCATATTATAACATTGACTAAGATAAAGAATAAAATAACATATTAAAATCAAGATGTATCTCGCTGTATTATGTGAGTATCCTTCTAGTACAATAATACACAGGGACCAAAAACGTACGGAGACTACCGTATTCCTCTCTTCCGACCACAACTTCCGGCAACCCTCCTGGACATCATCATCATCCCCTTGGTATCTTACAGTCACAACCTCCGACAATCCTCCACAACCACCGATGAACTCCACCATAAGCCCTTTTCCCTTCTTAACCCTCAACTGTGAAACGAACAACGAGAACTCCACACAACATCACCAAGACACCACCCTGAATCGATCTATGGCCATCTCTGGCTCGTCTCTCATCAAGAAGCCCCTCATCTCCGACCTCTTCGTCTTCCTTCCACCGTCCACCTCCATTGATGAAACCCATTAAAAAAGTGGTCAAATCTCTACCACAAGTGTTTCAATCATCTACATCTCATGCATTTCCATGTCTCTGTCTCTCTTTAAGCTTCTAATTAAATAACCAGTCAAGATCCAAAAAAAAAGTTCAACTCTATTGATGGACTTATGTGAGATTATCTCATGGTTCTAAATAGCGTGATGCGTGACATGGTGGCGAGGTTAAGCCTCAAGTCTCGGAAGCCACGACGAGTTCGCGACGTGATTTATAGACAAATCTCTATATCATATATAAGATTATATACATAAATGTACGTTTTCTATTATTACTCAACAAATCAATGATAGCGTGTATACATACACACAAATGGTCTTCATTAATAAATCTTAAAATGCATAACCAACTGGTCCTATTTTTTATACTTGTCAGACTTAAGTTATTCTCAGTTTTCAATAATTTCAGATTTTTTACTTCAAATATAAATTAGAGGTGTCAAGCGATTGTGGGCATAAAAAGTTAGTAGATATTATGATGCCAACTTTAATTGGTTGCATATTAAAATAGCCATGAATATAATTAAGACAATAATTATGTGTTAATTGAGGTTAGTATGATTTGCACTACCCTCTTATTAAACAAGTATTCTCTTATCATACTATTTATTTTTCATATAAACTTCTCTATTTTCAAATGCAATCAATTATATTTGTACAATTAATACAATCCAATAAATTGAGATATTTATGGAAATGATAAGAGTTCATTTATTATAATTTGAATATTTATGGAAGATGAATAATGTTCATTAATTATGATCAATATTTTATATTAGAAAACAATTAAAACTTATATGAAATCACATATTCATCAAATTAAATGGATGGTTGAGATTGGGTTGATTGGTTGTACAAATGTAAAAGGTTGTATTATAACCCACCTCTCTCTCTCTCTCTCTCTCTATATATATATATATATATATATATATAAACTTGGGATCATGTGAGACCAATGGTTTTTCATGAGACCCGCAAGACCAATTCTCAACTCTTGAATTAGATCTACAATCTAAACATTCATAAACGTCACGAAACTTCTCAATAATCACAAAATTGCCATCGTGCAATTTTGACCATTAGATCATTAACTTATAAAGTTGATCAATGAACATAAATTGGTCTTACATGTCTCACGAAAAACCTTTGGTCTCACGTGAACCCAACCTTATATATATATATATATATATATATATATATATATATATA